GTTGAAGTGGGCGCTGAACGAGTGGCGCGCGCAGACAAGTTGAGAGGAATCGGTGGAGGTCGCTCTGAAATGGAAAATTCCTGTTTTGCTATCCTTTCCTCATTTCATCCCAGTTGGTCCTGTATTAAGCCCCCTCCTATATGCTGGGTGCTTGGGGACCATAGTGGTGAAGCAGCCTGGTGGAGTTTACAGACATGGTAAACAATAACTGCACAGATAAATTTAATTGCATTTATGACACGTGTTCCTAGGGAAACATCCGGAGCATGAGTAACCGAAGGTCCTAAAATCATCTGTACATTTTGTAAATCAGACAATAACGTTGGCGGCGGGGGTGGGGGGGGGGTGGGGAACATCACTGTGTGGCCTCAGGAGAATTGGCAGGGAGCTCTCTTACCTCGTGTGTGTATGGTGTGTGTGTGTAGAAAGGGAACGCCTGTTATAGGAGATACACCATATCCATTGTTTCACTGAATCTGCACAGCAATCCTTTTGAAGTTACAATCACCACCCCCCTTTTACAGCCTTGGTGAGCTTGAGGCTCCATGTCAGAATATTCTCCTTTAACATCTGGGTGTCTTGAGCACAGTGATCAATGGGACCCAACTCAATGGCTTTTAAATACGACTCCCACTCCCAGGGAGAAGTGTGTGTGGCAGGAGTCAGAGGACGGTCTGGTAGAATACCTGCTGCCTCTCCTCTGTCTTTCCTGGGAAAAATCTCAATCAACCAGAATGTGTGGGCTGAGGGTTCTGTTTAACTGAATGTTCCATGCCCCTCAACACCACATCCAACTTAGTCCTTCACCTTGGCATCTCCCGTCTATCCTAGAATTTAAGAATGGGAGCGAGAACATAGCCTCCCTACTGACATTACCTGCGGAAACCCCAAACCCAGATGTGTCCCCAGCCCTGACCAGCTTCATCACCACAACTCTAATCCCCCAAAAAAGCCCAGGCCCAGTATCAACTCTTCTACTCCTGTAAAGCTTTGAGGGGGATGAAACTACAACTCCCAGAGTCCTCCTGGCCCCAGAAGAGGCGGGATGTCCTGGCAA